ACATAACTCATAGTGATGACGTATGTTAAAGAATCTCCCAAATAGTCTTTGGTGTTCCTCCTTGCTTTCTATAGGAATTCAAATTTATTTCTTATTATTAGTGAGTTTTCATGGGTCTTGTACTGACATTTATCTTAGCATTGGAGGTTTATTAGAGTTAGAGTTGATGAGTCTCTCAGTATGTTCCCTTCTGGTTGAGATCATGAAACGGTTACTTATACTTTATCAAATATATAAAGATATTTATTGAGTTAAGATTAAAATAAGATTATTCAGTTTTATTATGAATTTAAAGTTCCCTATTTGTGTTAGTAAGTCTTTCTTTGAGAAGTCAACAATGTGAAGGGTTCGCGTGAAGACCAACAATGATTTTAAGTGTTGGTCATGTCCAAGGTATAGAAGGGAAGAAGAAGAAAGAGAAGGAGAATGAGGAGAAGTAGGAGGAGAAGAAGGGGAGGAGTAGGAGGAGGAGGAGGAGGAGGAGAAGTGGAAGGAGGAAGTAGGGAGGAGAAAGAGAAGGAGAAGGAGGAGGACGAGAAGAAGGATAAGAGTAAGGAAGAGGAGGAGAAGGATAAGAAAGAGAATGAGAAGAATGAGAAGGAGGACGAGGAAAAAGAGAAGGAGGAGAAGGAGGAGGAAGAGGGAGAAGAAGGAGGAAGAGGCAGAAGAAGGAGAAAAAGAGGAGGAGAAGAAAAAGAGTGAACTTCCAATAGAGATCAATTGTTCTGTTTTCTTGCATGTGTAAAGTTTGATTATATTGATCTTCAAAACTGCAAAACTGAAACAGATAAAAAGAAATGCACCTTATAGGACCACGTTGATCAACTTGATTCACTGAATCAGAACTTGAAATCTTAAATTTTGATCTTAAAAAAGGCAAAATCAAAACTGATAAAGAATAGTATCTTAAAGGACGAGGTTGATCAACTTGATTCACTCAATCAGAACTTGAAATATGAAATTTTGATGATGTCCATTATTGAAAAAGGAAAAGGAGTTATGAGTGAAGATCAGAAAAAGATTGAATCAGATTTTAAGGACTGTAAAATTAATTTTTTGTGACAAAGAAAAGGTGAGAAATAGAATCTAGCAGTGTCTAGGTTGAAAATGTACCTTGAAAAAGCTAATAGATTTACTAATTCCTCTAGAATTGTCAAAATTGAATGGTAGGGTAAAAAATGAGAAGTCTGGCGTAGAGTTCCATAAAAAAATATTATTTTCGAAGATTTGTACGATATTTGTGGTAAAATTGGTCATCTAACTACTAACTGTCTACTTGCTAATAATTTTGAAAAAACAAATACTAAATTGAAAAATGGAACATATTTATACATGTTTACAGAAACTTGTCCACTAACATGTTGTTTTGATGGGTGAGAAGAAAAATTGATTCACCCTTTTGATGATAAGAATGGATCCAAGCTTATCTGGATTCCTAAGAGTAAAATAGGATCCAAGCTTATCTGAATTCCTAAGAGTAACCCTTAAGGTTTTTTGCAGGTGCAGCTGAAAGGAAGCAAGCGATATTGATTCATAAATATTTCTTGCTTAAGGCATATGACTGAAGATGAACAAAAACGGAAATAATGGCAAGCAACAGTCTCTCTTTGAATTCCCCACCAATTTTTACAGACGAAAACTATCAAATTTTGTCTGTGAGAAGAAACCCATATTTTGAAACGTGTGTGATATGTGAGATTGTGATGAATGAAAAACCCTTACAACTTTTCTCTGTTCAGACTAAAGCAATTTTAGGAAAACGTCTACAGATGACAATGTCACCGCATGTGTTGTTGAAGAACAAATCACAAGAAGAAAAAAACAAAAGAAGAAATTTTGAAAGTTCAAAAACAATGAAAAAAGTTCAGCATCAACTACCAAAGCAAAAAATTAGGAGGATCATTTTTTTCCAATTGCAGTAACTACAACAAAGGAGGAGTGTAGAAGTTTGGTTTTAGTTACTCCAGTAACTTTTAGCAAAATAATATATTTAGTTTGAATAAATTTGAATTTTGAATTTTAGTTAGATGGTTTCTGTTATTGAGATATTTTAGGTTGTTTAAATTTTAAATTATGCAGATTATGTATTTTAAGTGGGCTATTTAAAGCCACTCAATGCTTATTGAAAGCTATTAAAAGTCACTTTAATCCTGAGAGCCATTTTCAATTACTTTATGCAGGCCCGTGCTTTTGGAAAAATACCAACAAAATTGATACTCAAATAAAAGGCTGAAGGAATATATTCACTAATAAGATTGTTGAACTGGAGGTTGCTCAGGCAGCTTATAAGAAAAAAACGCCCTTCAGACTGTAATTGAAGCTCTACAGAGTCATCTCGATAAACAAAGGACAGGAAATGCTGAAATCATGTGCCGGATTGTCTGTTAACACAACTATTGCCACTTATTCCATTCTTCTCTTTACTTCTCGATCTTCGTGCCTCTAACTTTATTCTACTCCTATTTAATGTATTGTTTTAAGTTATTAGTGCTCAATATGTTTTTTCTTTATTCAGTATGGCTTCGTTCTTATATAGAACATGATCTAACAACTTAATAGAATGATTGGCTATTTCTCTATTAATGAATCATGTTTTTACTTTTTATATTACATAATTATGTTGCATGAAGTCATTAGCTTACTATCTTGGTAATAGCCTCCATGGTTATAAATTCTTTAACTAATAGCTCTAGCAAGTATGTTATAGGAGTTTAAATGAAGAAGTAATTTGACTTGAAGTAGAATTTTTTAAATGAGTGTTGAACTGAAGAGCTGGAATTCGTCTATAAGAAAAAGAATAAATGAATTTGTTTTAAGGAAAGAGTCTAAAGAAGCAAAGATCTTGAATTAAAGAAGGAGTCTTACTTGAAGTAGAACTCTATGTCAAAAGAATTCAAGTGATTGGGGATTTCAAAGAGAACAATAAATCGATGAAGAATTGTGCTCAAATAGAGGTGAAGTTATCTGTAATACTCGTGCACTTTTAGAGCTAAAGGGCATTTGGAAAATTGACTTCACAAGCTCTATGAGTAAGCTGAATGAACACATTGAAGAACCAGGTCCTATCACAACGTTTATATATTAGGAGGATTTCATCGAGTAGTAGTATAGATGTATCTTTACTTTAATGTGTTATAAACTAAATAAGGAATGTTGCCTTCAAGTTGAGATAACTCGTATATTTGGGAACACATACCTTGGAAGGTTTGTGTTGATGTTAGGGAATTATTGTTCGTAATTCTATAGGTTGCATAGGCTTGTAATCTGTTTTGTCTTGAGACTTAGTGATATACTGAAGCTGACGTTAAATCTTGTAGACGTAAAGGTCGTGATGTATCACACCTTTTTAAGGCAGGTGTTTTTCACGTAAAATATTATGTTTTACTTATTGTTCTTACTACTTTGTTGGAACACATTAGGCAAATTTTTTACACTTAGGAGAAAAGTTAGAGTAAGTAAATTGCTAAGTCATGCAGACTATTATAACGTCACTTTCACAAACACTCTTATTTCTTTTCACATCAAAACATTACCATATAAGAGAAATGAGATGATGTTTGCATATGTCTAATAGTCGTTAAGAGAACATGTATATACTCAATTCCGTAATGTAGATAGCTAGGACCCATGGGGGACTCGCAAAGTTTATATATCGTAGACGACATAACTATACTAGGAAATGCCCTTTATGATCAACATACTATATCAATAATCCTTTACAAGTCAATATCCTAGTTGACCCTTTACCAAAATTTAACCTTTTATTTCCTCAATATCAATCTGATACATGAAATATAAATGCCAATTGAAAACAACAATCCATATATTGGATTCAAATCCTCGGTACAGATAATCAAAAGCAACTCAGAACAATCAGCAAGGCAAGAACGACAATGATAAAATAATCAAAATGATTGACAACACAATCATTTTTACCAATGCTACAACTAGAAATCAAGTTCACCTAGTCATATAACACAATCAGTACTAGCATAAATGCTCGTCATCTCATTTATATAGGACATCCATCATCCATTGCCTATTTACATAGTCAATTAATACACTAACACTCTGAAAGAATCAAAGAAAGTTTCAGTTTGCCTTAAACGCCTGAAAAGTCAATTCATGGCCTTGCCCTTTCATAGAGCATATGAACAGTCTCAATCTAGTCTAATACATTATTAAGACTATTTGTAGACACTCATATTGCTATACTTTTATCACCGGCCAAATAAGTTAACCCCAAACTCTAAAAGGAAAACTGATTTTAATTACAATTTAGATTACCCATAGTGCGAACTCAAATCTCAAAAACAGATTTCTTAATTTTAGCTATTAATTTTTAGTTTCATGTTCTTACTTAATTCTGAACGATGGAATAATCAACAAATAAAAGACTTGATAAAAATATTGGTTTACCCATAGTATAATGTACCTCAAATGAGAATTTTCATTTTAAAAATGGAGTCTTTATTACCTCCAAATCAAAGTATTACAATATCTAGATGTCGAGTGAAATTCCTCAATTTCCTGTGATAAAAATCACTGAGCTTTTACCACAATCAAACATGGTTTGAAATTTAATACAATGTTCTGGCATAAAAAAATTAATCTTTTTTTTTGTTATTTTTTGTCGTTAAAGTAGAAAAATCTGGTATCCAAAAAGTCTGCTCCAACACCTTTTTGCAACAAACAATTTAGTTTTCACTAAAAAGGCCGTAATATCCTTATACGATCTTCGAAATGCAACGATTTATTTTCACTATGTGTCCTAAATAACGATATGGATATCTTCATTTAATTGAAACTCAATATCATGTTTGGATTCCCAAGGAGATGAAGTCTCAGAATAAATTTTCGATCTCTATAATTAAAAATGGATCTGTCGATCGTCACGTTTTAATGCTTAAACAAAAGACAAAGCACCCGAAATGTTCACAATTCATCCGAAACTCGTTGAAATTAAATCAAAATTTGCGGACAAGTCCAAACTCATCATATAAGCATGTCAACACTTTCAGATCATATATATCTGAACTAGTCAAGTCAACTCTAAACTTTAAATTTAACTGCACTGCAACTTGTTCGTCCGAAACATCCAGAACCTCCAAGACACAGTAACTGAACAAAAATTGATTTAGGTTACAAATAAGAACTTCAAGTCTGCCTCTGTTAATTCCTCCAATGCCTCCGAAGCACCACCAACCGTCCTACAAAAAAATCAATATTTGGCAATCAGCACACCAAAGAGAGAAGGGGGGAACGTCAAAGTAGAGGAGGAAAATTCAAAGAACACATATGCAACTAGCACAATGAACTTGGAGGAACTTACCCTTCAAAAAGTAGTTTTTTCTTCTCTTGCAACTCTAAGATCCTCTCCTCGATTGTATTCTCAATCACAAATCTCACAATCCTAGAAATGATAAAAATAAGAATAAGCTATCTTTATTGGTATAGTTAGTCGAAGAAATACAATCACACACCTTGTTGGTTTAAACTGCCCTATTCGATGGATTCTATCTTCACCTTGCCTCTCCACAGCAGCATTCCACCAAGGATCCATAAAAAAAACCTATTAAAGTGCAAAAGGAGAGTGTAACTTCAAGGAAAGTAGTCTGGGTCATTCAACAATATATTATTAGTTCAAAATGTATTTGTTCTTTAGGTGCACCGAGATGAAGTGAAAACATCCCAAACAAAAAAATAGTTTTAACCTAACGAGATGAAGGAATCCAACATAGATTCAAGAAATAAAGAATATTTATTGACAAAGAGAGGAAAGGAAATCCTTACGTGTGATGCCACTGTAAGATTCAGGGAAAGACCTCCGGCTTTCAAACTCATGAGAAATATAATGCAATCTGGATCACTGGTAAATCTTGTAATTGCAGAATCTCTTGCAGTGATAGTCATGGATCCATCTAATTGAACACAATTAATACCCGACTGCCAAATGCACACAAGAAATATTTTTTTGTTAAGACTACTGAGTGAAACAATAGGGGTAGTTGTGAAGGGGATAACGAAGACATGTCTTACCTTCTGTAGAGAATAGTGTATCAGATCCAAAAATGATGTGAATTGGCTGAAAACTATTGCCTTTGCGGAACCTTCTCTTTCAATCATGAACCTTATTTCTTCTCTCTTGATCCAATGAAACAAGCAATGAGAATACTTATAAGTTTCCACTCAATTAAGTGGGGGTGGTATTTGATGCAACATTTTCAAATGGTAAGCAAAACTTTAAACAAAACCAAACTATAAAGCTAAGGTAAAATAAGATATAGTTTTTGATTGAAAAGTAATTGTTTACCAACGCTTCTATTTTTGTGCTTGTCTGAAAATTATCAAGGCAAATTCTGTTCAATATACTCGAGGACCTAAATCCTTTGATTGTTGCTTTAGTTTTCTGATCATTTGCTGTGAAATCCACTGTAATTGATTTAAAACATGAAGGGCATGAAAGTTGTTCCACAATTGCAGAAATGTTTATTAGACATGACTTGCAAAAGACATGTGTGCAAGAATTAACCTGCAATAGTCAAAAGAGGTGCACATTTTTATAGGAGAGTCATTTTACGTTTCAAATGACAACATAATAGTAATGAATTCATAGAATTTTATAGGAGAGTCAGTTTAAGTTTCATATGATAACATAATAGTAATGACTTCATAGAATATTTCTTAGGTTTTCAAGAGATGAGGTACGAGAATTGAAATCATCAACTCCACGAGTTTAATTAAAGTTGTTATAGTGTTAAAAGGCATTTTAAAACGTATTTCTAGTAAAAAGAAAAAGAGTGGTCTTTCTTATGGTGCTGAAAAAGAATTTTTAAAAAGACATCTTAGATGTAAATGTTGAAACTATGTGAACATTAAGATGAAATATCCATCACATAATATATGAAATATTAATGTAGTGTGAGTAGGAAATCTATCAAATTCAATTTTAGTGATGTATCAAGTTTCGTGAGTGAACTTTTTCCTTTGTTTTATACTTTCTATTTCTTTTCTTAGGGAAGTGGAAGAGTATGCAACTCACGATTGGATCTTTTGCTGGATCATGACATAAACCACATGTTTGTTCAACATAGCCAACATTAGTTGTTCTTCCACTTCTAGCCAAAGAAGAACTTGAGCATTCCACAAGGTAAGGATGATCGACGGCCTGTAGTCAAATAAAAGATAAGACGTGTGAGTATAGCATTCAATTAATGAAGAAGAAAGGAGGCAAAGCAAGGATTTCTTTTTCTTTCAAAGTGAGAAAGGGAAAGCAAATGAATCGAAAATTAATCAAATATAAGAAAATGTTTCATAGTTATTACATAGATCATAGAAAGTCAAATTGCTTGCTTTAGTAAAAGAAGTCTGAACAATTTTTTTTAGGCTCAAGGAAGGATATATATAAGGAAAAAGCAAGCCAAGAAATTACTGAAGGAATTATTATCTCTGAGTTCTAAAATATTGCAAGATTAAAACAATTAACATCATTAAATATTTCATCTCCACAGTTTGATAATTTTACCACAATATGTGTTGAAGAACTGAAATATTTCTTGTTAAGAAAAAAATTACATTAGATCTGATCCATACTTTGAAGCTTAACAATGAACTACAACAAAGAATTTTATTCACGACGAATACCAAATTCAAGAAGCAACCAATACATTATAAAAAACAAGTCAGTTGAAAGCAAGATACCAATACCTGCCGCATGCGTGTGAGTAGATTAAAAATGTTAACATAGTTATTCATCAATGTACCAGCTTGAATGTACCTGTGCCAAAATACGTCAGGAAGAAACAACATAGTGATGAGAAAATTAATAGTACACTCCTAGTGTTGATTATTTTCCATGAAAACCCATGTAAAATTAATTTCCAAGAAAGGAATGTTTGTATGCTTTCGGATGACTTAACATATAGAAATTAGATGAAACATATTCCATGAAAAAGCATTTATTACACCATGAGTATCTAATGGAGAGAAAAAATAGGCCAAGATTAATTTCAAACAAGCAAGGATCGAGTTTCATAAGCATAGACAAAACTAAATTACATACATATTGAATTGTGCCCGACTTTCATCCCACAATGATCTGTAATACTCTTCTTCCTTAACATCGAAACAATCTTTGCGCAAGGTAACCTAAATAAGAAAGTAAGTAACATGCTAAAGAGGATAGAAAACAATTAATAACACAAGCATTATGTTAATGTGAAAATAAAACTTACGATCTTTAGAGGAAGTCCAAGATCAGCAGCCCTTCCCTTTTTAGTACGTCTTAGCATTATGGTTTTTAAAATTTTGTGTTTCAACAGAACCATCGCATCTCTACCAAACCCATGATTCCCTTGAGATTGTATGGGTGATGCAATATACTAGAACATAAGATGTATGAACATCACCGTGAAGCAACAATATTATTTATCACAACTAATGAAATGCATCAAAATAAATAGCAATTTGATAACTTACTCTATTCCACCAGCAAAAGTGTCGAAAAGATTGGTGGTGGCAATGTGGACACTCGAATGAGCTAAAATAAACACAAACACAAAATGGAGAAAATAAGAGATTTCAAAAAGGTGAAAAATAAGAAGATGCTCAAGGAAGAAAGATTTCAACTGTCAATGAAATAGTAATATCTCGGGTGAAAATGAACAAATATAACATAGTAAAATGAAAACAAATCCTCAACTATATGTTTCTCTATTTAACCAAGTTAGGTGCAAATATAAAAAAGAAACTTTTAAGTCTACCTATTGTCGAGAGCTCTGCAATCACAATCTTCGCAGAAGTAGTACGAGTAAGGAATAATTTGTAAGAAATGGACCTGTCCAAAAGTAAGGATGTGTTTAGATCAGAGAATGAATATGTGAATTATGTTAGCCCCCAAAAAAGATTAATCACAAGAAACATACAAGTGAGTACAACTCTCCTACACGGTTCTGTAGGGGAGTACCACTTAAGGCCCACTTATAAGAAGATTCTAGCGAAAGAATAGCTCTTGTAGTGTTGCTGCGTATATTTTTCACACAATGGGCCTGAGCAACAAAAGTACAGTCCGTTAGAAAACTGTGGATAAAGGGTTTGTCCGATGAAACTTACAAATGTGAACTTTTAATAGACTTCTCTTTAAAAAATATCATATACAACATTAGCCCTAACTACCCATGATGGCAGAGTGGTTTGTCATGTTTATACAACCTTACCCCTACCTTGTGAAGGTAGAGAGGTTTTTTTAGGTAGACCTTCAGCTTAAGTAAAACGTATCAAGAAAAACCAAATATGTGGGTCAAGTAATGCAATGATCACCTCATCCAAAATAATACGATTCCAATTCATAGAGTGCAAAATCATTATATTTTTCCTGTACTCAGTCTCCACTGTTGAGTAGGTAGTGATAACAAAATCATATTCCGCGAATCTGCAAATATTTTTCTCCCTGTTGGCACCATGATATACAAAAATTGCGTTGCTTCCTTTTGTAGTGAAGCGTTCAATCTCGTTGACCCACTGAATCACAGCAACAACTGGACAAATAACAAGGGTTCCTTTCACTGCTTGAAGAATACAGGGGGCAGGTGAGAGCAAACCGGAATCTGAAATTGCTTGCCCTATTCCACGTTTAGCTAGCACAAGAGCTATGGCTTGAACAGTCTTCCCCATCCCCATATCATCTGCAAGAATGCCGCCTCTAACTATAGATTCTTCTTGCTTCAAAGCCCAAGCCAACCATTCTTTCTGATACCTTAGCAAGGGTATGATCAAATCAGATGGCTGCTCAGCAGTTTCAGTCATAAACTCATTCTGACTATTGAAGTCTAGATAAAGTGCATAGTTTTCTTCCATCCACCTATCGTTCTCTTCTTCCCATTTTTGCCACATCAATAAAATGTCACCACCATTTCCTACATCATTTATTACACCATCTTGTTCTACCTGCTCTTCTTTTATTTTAATACTGCATTCACCCTTTGTTATATTGGGACAAACTGCTTCCGCAGTTAAATCAGTGTCAACAAATCCACCTACTTGGGCTTCATTCATCAAATTATCAGCTTCATCTGCATAGATGGTTATACCAATAATCACATAATAACCTTGTGCATTAACTATTCAATGCACATCCATATTTGACTGCATGAACTTTTATTTTAGGTTAGCCAATAACTATCATATATCGGCAAAAAGAAAGTCCCAACATGCTAATAAAATGTTACTGTAGTTGCAACAATTAAAAAGGACAAAATTGAAGGCAGGATATAAAAATAACTCCATCCTCATCAAAGCTCCTAATTTGGAAGCTTTGTTCTCCTAATTTCACAATCCACATTTAAGTGGAACCACATCATTTACATTTATCTACAACATATAGTGGATATACATATGACACATGCCTTATCAAAGAAATACTTCATTACCCACAAAAACAATAATGAAAAAGACACTTTAGTACAACAAATTGTCCCACTTGTTTCTAAGGATGGGAACAAACATGCAATATTCCTATTAGGAAATATCATATTCTCTAATAATACTCGCAAACCTTATTTAATGATCTTTTATTTTTCGTTCTATTTATACAAGTTTAGTCCTCGATACAAGAACGATTTTTTAGCTTCATATTTTCTATTCTAGTATTTAGTGTTCTCTTTATTTGTTGTTCAACTTCTTCATGTTTGATGAGTAAATTCAACCATCACTCCATTTGGATTGATCTTATATTTGTTCGATTCATCTTAAACCTAGCTAAGGATAGGGAAGAGTGTCCATGGTCATATAAGGAGCTCCCATGCATCTATTAAAGGGATAATGTGAGACTCTCATCACTAATAATATATGTTCAATCAATCAACCCATTTATTCTTTAATAAAATCAAATAGTAAGTTACAAAGATTTTCTATCAGTACTCCGGTGTTGCGCGCGCCTTGTCTATCTCTCGGCACATGTTATCTCCATTCAATACAAGTACCAAGAAACTCTATCACGAGATTTGGGAATAATGCACTTAGTCTAATTTCATTTAATATTTGAACCAAGGACGTCACACATTTGACTTCTAAATAATCCCACTATGGGTAGGATAAATGAACTTTTGGCACAGAAGTGATTTTTATGAATCGATAATACTTTTTTTTATATAGAATTATTTTTTTACCGTAAAAACATGAAAAAATTGTGAATTCCACCATTACAAAACACCCTAAAAATCCCATTTTACTCACGTAATATGTAAGATTCAAGAAAAACAAATGCAAATTCACATCAAATAAACAACTTGTATGATCGCAAATAGAAACACCAGGAAAATAAAATAGATTAGTAAAAGAAAGACTTTTCAAGCAAACCTTCGGTTGAAGATGAGGAAGGATGAGAATGGATCCTCATTTTGTACACAATTACTAGTGGAGATTTGCAGAAAAAACAAACAACAATTGTGAAGAAAGAGAGAGTCTCAGTGTGGTGAGAGACAATGAGTAGGATTGTGGGAGAGGAGACCAATTTATATGTGCAGTTGACAAACTTAAATTATATTGGATTTGACACACTTAACTTATATTGGATTTTAGTAATCAATAGTTGACCAATTTTTAAGTTGAGAGTGATTAAGCCTTAAGAAAGGACTTACCTTATATTTGATATTTGTTTTAAGATTAAAAAAAAAAAAAAATCTATTTACAAGTTTTATGATATTAGATAACAAGACAATGATGCTATTGGCATGTCATATATAGGCTTTTAAATTTATGACTAACATGCTGCACATTGATATGTTTTATGTTATTGTTGTACATATGATTTTTAAAAAACGTTTTTAGGAATAAAATGGAAAACACTTGCAATATTGAAATGCACGTGTTTGTCGGAATTGAAATATATAGTTGAACTAATCAATTAGAACAACCACCATACTTATTCTATAATTGCGAGGTTTTATATTTGAAAGTTAGATTACGATTATGCCCTTCCACAGTTAATTGACTATTATGACTGTCACGTACCGACTCCTCAAGTCACGGACACCTACTATAACCCACCAGCACGTATGTCAACCCTAACTCAGAATGACATTATTGAGTATAGTGGTACATCAATAGAAGTAAAATTATAGCAATTAAATAAGACAGAGGCGGAAGCAAACCAAAAACTTTATACATGAATATAATTTCCTCCAAAAACCTAGAAGTTGTAGCGCTATCTAATATTGAAGTACCAATCACAAAAGTGGACCACGAAAGTCATTTCAAAGGAAAAATACAGGATAACATAAATACATAAGGATACAGGCTGATCGAAGGTGCCAAGTGCGCACCCACATCTCTAATCTTAAAAGTTGTTGAAGATGACACAAAGAATCACAACAGATAGTTGTTACCAGGACCATCATACAAAATAGATGTAGAGTGTAGCATGAGTACCAAAATAAAGGTACTCAGTAGGCATCAACGGTCGAAAAAGCAAGAAACGTAAAGACAATAAGAAAAGATACAATCTAAACACAAATAGATGTCCAAATGGATATGAAAGAAAGCACACGAGTATACCAAAAGAACATCTAAGTATATCTAAACTAAAAAGAACTGAACCTCATAAGCCTAGAAGATACACTTGAGAACACAATTTGTAAGACCCTATATTCATAAAATCACCCAATGCAGATTTCTAGAAGTTGCAAGTGCAACCCACGATAGCCACCCACGAACCATAGGGTAACCCACGACCCGTGCTATAGGATTGTTGTCTAACCCTTCCAAGGCTCAGCCTTAGAAAATTTATGTAAGTTTCGACCCACATACCATGGTCCATGGATCAACCCCCAAATTCAGCCTCATTTGTGACTGACAGTTGACCAACATGGACTTTCATTTGACGATCCATCAGTCATGTCCATCAGTGACCCCGACAATAGTTAAGTTAGGGGTCTTTTGGTCTTTTCCTTATGTGTACAACCCCTCAACTACGTCATTTAAGCTCTAAACTACTTAGTTTTGGTCATTTTTAGCCTAGAGACATAACTAGATCTTTCCTAAGACAGATCATTCTTTAAAACATAGAAAAATTATAGCATAACAGAAAAAAGAGGTTAAGAACCCTAGTGCAAGAATAGAACAAGGTTTCATGAATTCTAGTCCCGAAATTAATTTTTTAATGGAATTTGTCACTTGGTATGTGAGATTTCACTATAGGTTCTTTTAACTCATTAGGTCCCTATATTCCAGTCAGAATATATATTCCCTTAATATTTTCCAGACTTAAGGTTTCTTGAATGTTAGAATGATTAGGTTTTAGTTGTTCAAATGATCCATATGATCCTAAATTCAATATCATTTTTCCCTAATTAATGAATAAACTCCGAACCCTATGTTGTTCTTTTTAGTTCATGAATTACACATGTTAGGACACTTAACTCAGAACCCTAGCGCTCTCTCTCTCTCTCTCTCTCTCTCTCTCTCTCTCTCTGTATATATATATATATATACTGAAAATCCTTGTGTCAGTGGTTCAAATCCACTTCTAAGCAGGTGAAAGGTCCAAACCGTAGCCAGGAGTGGGCCGGATTGAGAAATGAAAAATGAAAGAGTAAGCAAAAAAATGTGTGCGCTCCTGCACTTTACGGACAGCTTTTTGGCGGTAGGGTTTGGGTGCTTGAGGCAAATTAAAAAAAAGCGGTTGACTACTCGGATTGGTTCTCGCATCGCTCCAAAAGGATAGGCGAGTTTGGTTTGAGTGTTCATCGATCGGGTGGATCTATATGCTTCGGGGTGGTGAGACGAGGTGTAGCCAGTCTGGTCAACGCATCTGTTTTGGGTACAGAGGGCCATTAGTTTGAATCCTGTCTCTCTCTCTCTCTCACACACACATGAATATATATATATATATATATATATATATATATATATATATATATATATATATATATTTGTTCTTCCGTTCCCCAAAACCCACTTCAGCTTTCAAGATTGGGTTGGTGTTCCGATAGGCGAGAGGTGTGAAGCCAGATCGTACTAAAGACAATGAAAAATTTTGGAAAATGATAGATTTCCAAAAAATAAGTAAAAGCAGTATTGAAAGACATTCCTATATTAAATAGGACGAGCTTTTTCACGAAGAAAGTTTCGCGCCCAACTGCTTGTATATCGATCGGAAAGAAGCAGCTAGAAATTCTATCAGTGGTTCTTCCTTCCTATCCCATATATCTATAAGAGTTGCTTGATTCACCCTCATTTTTAATAGGAGTGTGATTCCGGGGCAGGGATCACAAACGGGAATCTAAATAGAAAAGAAGGCTAAGGTCCACATAAAAAGTAACTAAAACTTTATGACTGAAATGTTCTACTACTGGATAGCTTAAACTACTGACATGCAAAATAAAAATGTAATATTAATATACTGATAATAATGCATACAAAATTAACTTATATATTTTCAGTATATTAATATTATATTTTTAGTTTGCATGTCAATATTTTGAGCTATCCAGTATTACAACATTTCAGTCATAAGGTTTTAATTACTTTTTCAATCGGGAGAATCTTAATACAATGTAGACTAGGGTTAGTGACCCTCAAGTCCCAGAACTACATGCCTCGTAAGATAAGTCCCCTCTGTTGGGCATTACATTTTAGGGCTCATGACAACATGCCTCTAGTAGGGTATATTCTGTCCTCTCGATGGGGCGTATACATCGGACTACACATTTAGCTCATGTGGTTTAATGTCGTTTATTAGTATCTCACTTATAGTCCAGTTAGAATTTATTGCATTGACCATGTTATGAGTATAGCTTCATTTTTAGTCTTAACATGTTATAAACTTGTTCATTATATTCAATTTAGCCATGTTCTGATTATATAATTGTTTTATCGCTCGTTTCACTTATATGTTTTGTTCAATTTTACTCTATCATGTATGCTCAATACATTTCAAGTACTAACATATACTCTACGCTACATCTTTTCTTGATGTAGGTTCAGGCCCCCATTATTTAGATCAAGCATAGTTTGATTCTCGATCTTTAGTTCAGCATCACTGGTGAGTCCTCATTCTTTGAGGACTAGTAGCATGAATATCTTCTTTTTTTAGTTTTAGTTTGAGTTTTCTAGATTTAGTTGGGGCCTGTCCCAACACTTCTAGTCAGTTATAGGTTATTTTCATACATAGATAGTTTTATCTTAGTGTTAGAGCTTCATTTTTCATTTGTATTCAAACTCGCTGTTTTATTTTATTCAGATAATTTATGGATA